GCGAGCCGGCGCCCGCGGGGAGTTGCAGGGATGGTGGCTGCTGCCTGCTGGGACGTGGGGACAGGGGTCCATGGGGGGTAGCTGTCCCTGTGTCCTCCAGGGTGGGTGCATGGTGGGGGCGGGCTGCACCCAGGGCATGTGGCCAGCCTGGCTGCGCTGCCTGCCGTCACTGCCAGCCGTCCCCGAGGGCGTGAGCTGCCTGCGGTGCCGAAATGCCTGGGATCTTCACCTTCCCCCCCCAGCTGGTTCCCATCCTGTCCCACGGTGCTGGTGAAGGCTGGGGGAGATCTTCCGTCTATAGTACATAAAGTGTACCCAGTAAAACCTGCTCGAGCACCATAAACTGCAACTGCACCCTTGTGAAACCAGGGCTGGTGATAAAGAAACAGGCTGAGACATATGGGCTCCTATTGAAATAGCAACGGGATGTTTCCTCGAAACTACGGCTTCTTAATCAGCTGTGGCTCATTACCATCCGCTCCCGCATGCATGCAGCTGAATTTACTACAATTAGCTGCTTAGCGCCAGGACCCACACCGTTTTCCTGCCGTTCGCGAGGAAAGCTCGGCTTCTGCAGTGAGGCTGGATATCCCTTATTGCATTTTAAATCAGTAGCGTCAAACCGGTAATTTTCCAAATGACATTAATGTGCCCAAAGTAACAAACAGCGCTAATATTGTTGCAGCCAGCGTCCGTCCACTCCGGGCTGGAAGCAGGGTGTGAAGTGGTGGATGGTGCCTGATAACAGCTTCTGGGAAGGGATGAGATTAACTCAAGAGCATCGTTACTGAGGAGCACTGGTACCCACCTCGTCCTTGGAGCTGTGCTTGGGCTGGTGTGCCCTCGCCAAGCCTGGTGTGGAGCTGGGACAGGGTGTGGGGCATACAGGGTTCGCCTCTGGGGCTGCTCGGAGGGAGATGTGGAAGAGCTTTGGGTACCCCCATCCCTGCCTGACTGCTCGCCTCAGCTGCGGTCCCCCACCCTCCAGCTGGGAGGTTGTGGTGAGCACCGGTGCAAGGGGGACGGCGCTGCTGCTCCGACGGCAGCTGGCGCACGTGGCGCTGGCACTGGCTTTCCGTGGGCTGGCACAAGGGGCACGGCTTTGTCCTCAGGCACAGCGGGGCGGCTGCCTGGCCCCGCCGGGGAGGCAGGTCAGGGAGGGCCCGTGTTATGGTACAGCCGTAGGATGCTGCGGGCAAGGTTGTGCCGTGCAGCACCGGTGCTAACTGTGAACAGCTCTGGAGCATCTGCGTCAGCTCCCCCATGCACAGGCTTTGAGCAAAGTTTGAGCTTTCCAGGGAGCTTCCCAAAATGGATGAATAAGAACCTGAAAAAGGGATTTATCAATTAAAAGTTGCCATCTTCACTCCTCTGCAGATTCCCATGTCGAGCCTGGTGCTTCTCGAGCCCTCCGAGCTCTTGGCAGCTCTCGGCAGGTGGACACGGCTGCTCGGGGAGGGCGCAGGCTCTTGGGGAGATGGAGCCATTGTTAATTAACAAAAAGGACAAGAAAATTAGTAGAGTTATTCCTCATAACCGAATCCTTATGTGCTGCGGATAGCCGGCAGAGAGCAAGATTTATGACATTCTGTGTGGAGGAGAGATTTCTGATAGCGGACGACTCTTTAATCTAGCAGGAAAAAACACCATAGTGAGATCCATTGGCTGGAAGCTGAAACCAGATAAATTCAGAGTAAAAATCACTTTGAATGCAGAGGGTAATTAAGCACTGCGACCGTTTCCTTGCAGGCTCGGTGGACTCTCCATCAGCCGGCGTGGCGGGGCGGGGGCCGTGGTGCGTGCGTGCCAGGGACCGTGGTGCGTGCGTGCCGGCGCACCTCCCCTCCAACTCTGGAGGTGTGCTCTCAGCGAGCGAGTGGGAGTGTAAGCGAG